AAAAAAAAAAAAAAAAAAAAAAAAAAAAAAGAAAGAAAGAAAGAGCACTTGTTACTCCTGCAGAGAACCCAGGTTCAATTCCTAGGATCCACATGGCGGCCCACAACCATGGGAAACTCCAGTTCAGGAAGGTCCAACGCTCTTTGCTGACCTCCGTGAATACCAGACACAACGTGGTACAGACATACATACAGGTAAAACACACATATACATGAAACAAACAAACAAAAAAAAAAACAATTCCACCAAGCAGGGAGATGGCTCAGCAGTTAAGAGCTCTTGCTGCTCTTCCAGAGGACCCAGATTCATTTCCCAGCTCACATATCAAGGGCTCACAACAATCTGTGACTCCAGTTCCTAAGCCTCTGGCTTCTTCAAGCATCTGCACATACAAACACGCTGGCACACACATAATTAAAAATTAAGAGCCATCCATCAAACAGCTGGACATGGTGGTACGCATCTTTAAACCTGTGCACCTGTAATCCTGGAGGCTGGAGCTCAGGGTCATCCTCGGTTGAGCTGGAGGCCACCCTGGACTACACAAGCTCTCCACCTTGCAAATAAATAAAAGTGACAAAACCTATCAAGTACAATTGAAAAGCTGGTCACAGGGTCCTGAGGAAAGCTTTGTCCAGAAGGAAGCAACCACCAGGAAGCCTGCAGTATGGGCTGTGGGTCCTCACTGGCATGTCTCTAGCTCTTGAAGGGTGGTGCTGTGGGATGGTCTGTATGTCAAATTGCTCTGATTGGTCAATAAATAAAACACTGATTGGCCAGTGGCCAGGCAGGAAGTAGGCAGGACAAGGAGAGGAGAATTCTGGAAAGTGGAAGGCTGAGTGAGGGAGTCACTGCCAGCCGCTGCCATGACAAGCAGCATGTGAAGACGCTGGTAAGCCACGAGCCATGTGGCAAGGTATAGATTTATGGAAATGATTAATTTAAGCTATAAGAACAGTTAGCAAGAAGCCTGCCACGGCCATACAGTTTGTAAGCAATATACGTCTCTGTGTTTACTTGGTTGGGTCTGAGCGGTTGTGGGACTGGCTGGTGACAAAGATTTGTCCCTGACTGTGGACAAGGCAGGAAAACTGTAGTTACAGGGTGGGATTGTGCTGCCCTGCAGTCCCAGCTCCTGGCTGTCCTGGAACTCCTATTGTAGACCAGGTTGGCCTTGAACTCACAAACTGCTCTGATTAAAGGCATGAATCAGTGCCACCCAGCCCTCAGCTGGGAGTCTTCTGGCTGGGTAAGCAGTTCCAGAGAGTGGTCCTGTCCACCTTCCTGTTAGCACAAGCAAGTCTGACTGTCCTATAGGACCTGAAGTTGTGCCGTTCAGGTTTCAACTCACCATGGGTCCTGTCTCGAATCACTGACAGGGCACACCACTGAAGATGGTAGGCTCCCCTCTATGCCTCTCAGAATATTCACCCATGTACCCTCACCGGGCTAGGGAGGACAGGAACAGTGACAGCCTTATTTGAGGCCTAGCCCTTACCTGGGGTAGAACCTGGCAGCAGCTGTTCCACAGATGTTTTGAAGGACCCATAGCTGTTTTCAGTGAGCTGGTAGGACGAGGGTCTGTGACTGTGACCCCAAACCCCTCTGCCTCTGAAGCCAAGACCTCACACAAGGTGCACCAGGTGGCTCTGCCCTTTGTGTCCAATACCACTCCTGCATGCTACAGCTTCTGGGGCAGTAAGATCACCCACAGGAGGGTCTGTGCACACACTGATGGGGTCTTCTCCTGCATGCTACAGCTTCTGGCCCTCTCCATCACGGATCTGCTGAGACCTTGGCCAATCCCTGGCTCCCAGTTACTCTGGCTTCCTCTACTGAACTTCGATCCTTATCAGTGCACCAGGGACTGGGCTGATGCCGACTCGCCTGGGAGCTTCTGCTCAGGGTGCTTCCAGGTGTGGGAAACCCAGGTCCCTCAGGTTAGAAGGCAAAGATGGGGTTACCACTGAACCTAGACCTGAGTAACAAGAAATACCAAGCCAATGTACCCACACTCCCAACTTCACCCCTCCCTAGTTGAGGCACCCACAGGCTCTGGAAACAAGACCTGTACTCTCTATGCAGGCCACTCCGATAGGCCTCTGGTGGGCATGTTCTGGGACAGCATCTATTACCCTACTGCCTTCCTGGCCTGTTAGGTCCAGGTGTGGAAGGTTCTGGAAGCTGAACTCCTACCATCCCTGCATCCAAGTGAAATTCAAATAAAAACAGCAAACACCCACCCTTGCCTCTCCACTTCTGCCCTCCAGGGTGGTTATGGGGTAGGAGGCTAGGTACCCTCAGTGGGTTCCTTGGTGGCAGATCATCTAATCCTAGACCCTTCTTTATATAGGCAGGGAAACGGAGGCCCATATGGGCATGCCCAATGGTCAAAGCTGAGACCACCACACCAGAGCGCCAAACACATATTCTAGTCTTCTCTCTGGGCCAGAAGCCGCCCAAACTCCCAAGACAGCAGCAGCCACCAAGGTCAAGGTCTGTTCTAGGCCCCTGTCTTCCCAGCTTGGAGGCCAAATCCTTGTTTAATTCAAGGAAGACACTTTGGGTGTCCCAGGCTCAAGTTCTTTCTAGAAGCAAGATTGATAAAGACTGGAGTGTGAGGCTGTTTTGTGCAGTACCTCTGCTTGTGAACTTTCTTGTGGGGAACAGAAGACCCAGCAGGTACCTTGCTGTCCTGGGCCTCAGGCCCTGAACCTATAACACGTTCCACTTGGCACAAAGGACACTGCCACCTTATCTCCTGGCCAGCTCAGCCTTCCTGCCTTCCCCCAGGTCCTGGGGCCTTGATGTTCTTCTGGAAGGACCAACCTTCCCTTCACCCCCCCAGAGTCTTCACCATGCCTAGTCACTTTGGTGGGTCAAGGGTACATCTACCTTCCCACATAGAGGTGGTCTCAAACATCTTTGTAGACTGCTTCTCATTTTTTAAATTTTATTAAATGTAGACTATTAGTCAAATGATTGGAAAAATCAATAGTGAAAAATAGTTCTTTAGGGTTTTTTCTTGGTGCAGAGGTGCATACCACTCTGTACTTGCCTGTCACAGGGAGCCCTGGGGCTGGGGGCCTGTGTGCCTCCACCCCGGCCCCAGCCTGGTGATCAGCAGTCACAGTGCACTCGTATTATCCAGCTCCTCTGAGGAGGCATCCCACACCCTGCCTTGCTATAAATATGTACAAATCCCTGGACAGTTGAGGGCACCAGGCCCAAGGCAGAGCTGGGGTTACCTGTCCCCACACCTGCAGGATCTCCACTTTCAAGACAGACGCTTGGTAGACCCTCGCCGCCCACTCCCCAGCCTCCATACCCTAGCCCTCTGCTCAGGCAGCAGCCAGCTGGCCTAGGACACGGCGGAACTGCTGAGTGCTGTGGCCCAGCTCCTTGACCCTGTCTACCATGTCCTGAGCAGCAGAGGGCGATGGATACTGCAAGGCGGCGGCCTTGGTGGTGGCCACAATGCCACGCAGGAGGTCACACAGCAGGTTGCTATAGTGAGTCACCTGGCTGCGCACGTCCGCTGCCTTTGCCTGCCGTGACAGTGTGTCCCCAATGAACACCAGCTTATGTGCGCTGAGGATGACAAACTTGCTGTGCGCCACAAAGATCTTGGGGGGCTGGTTGGTGGCCACCGCCGTGAAGAAGGCGTCTACTGCATCTGTCAGTGTGGTCAGGTTGGCCTCACACTGCTCCAAGTAGAAGAGCAGCAGCTGTCGGTCCGAGGGCCCCAGGGCCCCTGTCCGCCCTGGCACCAGGGGCTGGGCTGGTGTCCAGTTGGCCAGGTCGTGGTCTATGGGACGAGACACCTCCTGCTCCAGTCGCTCAAACTGTTTCAGCTGTGGAAGGCAGGGCACGGTTAGGCTCTTGGCTGACGGACATGTGCAAACATCTGTCCCCATCAGAGCTCTGCCCGCCACAGGAAAGCAAACCACCAGTGTCAAGGACAGCATTCCTAGCTGAGGACACGCTGGGGGTGCACAGGAGAGGTATCATGCGCACTGGCTTCTTGAGGCGGCGCCATGGCCACACGTGTATTTCTGTTTTAACTACCAGAGCCGGGGACGGGTACTTTGTCACATATCCTGGCTGGCCTCAAACTTAGGATCCTTCTGCCTCTGCCTCCTGAGTGCTGGAATTTCAATTAGCAACATGGATTTCCTCTCACGTTTTAAGTGCCACACACTTCCCAAGCAGTTCACACTGCTTATTTACCGCCAACACCACGCCTGTGAGGCAGCTACCAACTATGAACCCCACTTGGTATCAGGGCAACCAGTGAACAGCCCAGCTCAGGGTGGGGTCATCTGTCCCCTGCCGTCCTTTTCTATGCCCAGAGAAAGGGTAGTGAGAGAAGTTTTCATATTTACATTGTGCTATTATCTTCACAATCAAAATTGAATGTCCTTAGTGTTTTTCCAAAGTACTTTCTTACCCTGAGAAATGATTCAAAATATGAAGAAAACTGTGGCTAAACACAGCACTATTATTTATAAGGAAAACGATACAATGTAAAGATTCAACAATAGACACGTGGCCTATAAAGAGGAGTGAGGACCAGTGTTGAAGGCTGAGGAATTCTGCAGACAGAAGCAGAGTGTGACTGCTCACAAGCGTCATCTCGGGCAGGCACAGGGAGGCACAGCTTGTGGAGAGGAGGTGAGGGGGGGCAGCTTGTCCCGGCTTCTGTAACGCCTCTGGCTGCCAGTGCCTCCTGACCCTACACTGCTCTCTACAATGTCCTCGTTACTGACAGTAACTTCACTTGTGTCTTATGCCTGGGATTGTCTCACGCACGCTAGTCAACTGCTACGGTCACAGCCACTCAGGAGGCGGCCGTGGGAGGGTCAGCTGAGCTCAGGGGGAGTTCCAGATGAGGCCGGGCAACACAGTGAGACTGCCATCTCAATTAGTTAGCCAGAAGACAGTGATGGCCACAATGCTGGACACTGGCTGGCTGGGTAGAGGGCAAGCAGGGCTCTATCCCTGGGGGGTCTCACTGTGAGGTGAGGATGGGAAGCCTCACCTGCTGCAGCTCCAGCTGGCCTTTTCCCTGCCGAATGATGTTGCCCTTTTCCAGCAGCTCCTTCTGGGTCTTCTCAAATTCCTCCTTCCCCTGGGGGGGAGAGACAAGGCCTGGACTGAGAAGTCTCTTCTGGGACAGAGGCACCAGCAGATCCCACGGGTGCAGGGGCCAGGGAACCACCAGGTGGCAGTGCAGGTACACAAGCCCAGGAAGAGGCAGCTGCTAACGGAAGCAGCCCCTACCGGAGGGGCTTGGCACACAGGAGGGTAGCCTTGCAGAGGGTGCACTCACCCCCCATGGCCTGGCCCTCCTGGAATGGCTCCCACACCAAGAATCAAATCCAAATCCTCCCCTTGGCCTACAAATGACATGGCACGCAGGTGTCTCCTCAGAGACCCACTCTCCTCCCACCTCCCCATTCCCCTGGTCCTGCGCCCTCTAGACACCAGCGTCTGTCTCCTCAGAACGTCTCTACAGCGTGGAGCCAAATCTATGGCCACTAGGGAAGCCCACCTATAAGTGTTCTGGGGCCATCTGATTGACATTTCAAGCTCCAAGGACATAGCTAAGTTGATCACCAGTCTAACAGGACAAAATATGGGGAGGGCACTAGGATTCACCAGTGACCATTCCTGGAGCCTGAATCTCCCTTTGACCACAAGATCTACGTGTGGGCTGAGAAGGCAAGGGGGGGTCCCTGAAACAACAGCAGCGCGGTCAGAGCTCTTGGGCCTGGCAGGGTGAGCACCCACCTGCAGGTGGACATAGTCATAATCCTCCATCCAGCCCCCTTCACTGTTCTCATACTGCCCATCTGGAGAGTCCTGGGAGGTGAACTTGGGGGGTGAGGGCAGAGGGCGTGACTGGATGCTGCTGGCTTTGTCAGTGGGGTTGGGGTGCAGGGAGCTACCTCCCTCAGGCCCTGGGCCAGGGGCTTTGGTCCGTCGGAAAAGTAGTGAGGCATTGCCATGCAAAAAGGAGGCCAGCTGCTTGGCATCCTCGGGCACGGCCCGTGAGCAGGCCACCAGGCGGTCCAGGTCTTCAAGGGTGAATCCTGGGCTTCCCCGGCCACTGTCAAGGACTTGACCATGGACCACCAGTGTCTGGTACACATCCTCCATCTTCTGTAACTGCCGGCTAAGCTTGGCGTGCAAGGTGCGGTCAGAAGTGTGGGTGGCATTGCTCACGGCACTGCGGGCAAACTCCAGGAGCTCGTGGACTGCCACATGGACTGCAGCCACTGCAGCCTTCAGGTCCTGCACGGGAGGTTCCTGGGGCTCGGAGGTGCTACGCCAGCCCCCAGGCCCACTGGCACTGCCCACCAGGTCCAGAAGGTGGGCTACGGTGGTGCTCACACCCTGCTGCAGCCGAGCCAGGGACTCCACAGCAACCTCCAGCTCCAGGGGCTCCCGGCCTGGCACCACGACCTCCAAGGAAGATGCCGATTGGCTGCTGCGTGTGCTGCCTGTGCTGGAGGCCGACAGGCGCTTGTCATCTGTTGGGGCCTCTCGTTCAGCTGGCGGGGGCACAGCATACACACCATCATCAATCACACTCCCGTCGGCCACCTCAGGAGGGAGCGCCCGCTCACGAGGCACATCATACAACGTTCCGGGGCCAGGCCGCCTCAAACCAGGGGGCACGTCATAGAGGTCAGGAGCAGGGGGTGGCACATCATAGACGTCCTCGGCTGGTGGGGAGTCTGGAGGAGGTGCAGCGAGGATCAGTGGGTGTCGGGTGGGGTCGAAGGGCTTGGGCTTGGCGAAGGCAGGAGGCACATCATAGGTCTCCTCTCGCTGCAGCGGGCCATCGGGCACATCCTTGGTCACGGAAGGAGGGACATCATACACCTAGGGGACCAAGTGGTGGTTAAGGCTGTTGTCCATCTGCCTAGCCCTGGAGTTCAAGCGGAGCCACGCAGACCCAGCTGATATACACATCCAGCATGATCCTTAGCTATGATGACTATGCCAAGAGCCTAGCCCTGGGTCTGGCTAATTTTCTGTGTCTGGCTATTCATGTATAAGATGGGGAACTCCCTCCCAATATAAGGGTTATATATGTGTTCAGTACGCAACATATATGTTCATAACTGCAGACATACAGGAAAGACTTGCTACCATACTGCCAATGCTGCCGGGATCACCCTTACTACAATCACCCAATGTCACGGTCACTGGTAGACTTTCTACTCTGTATCAAGCACTTGGCTGTTAAATTCCTGTTGGCTCTCAAGACAATTCTGTATGATTATCAGTCCCCTTTTATATTCCAAGTGTCCTGGTTTGGGAGGCAGATTTTGTGGTCTCCTTGCTGATATCTCTCAGAGCACACATGAGAAGACCTGGCAGCGGGCCATTTTCTGAGGTTCAGAAGGACATTTAGTTTTTTCTTTTCTTTTCTTTTTTTTCCTTTTCAGAGACTGGGTCTCTCTGTAGCTTTGGTGCCTATCCTGGAACTCATTCTGTAGATCAGGCTAGCCTTGAACTCACAGAGATCCCCCTGTCTCTGCCTTCCGAGTGCAGGAATTAAAGGTGTGCACCACCACCACCTACCTGGCTAGTTTCTTCCTTTCTTTCTCTTTTTCTCTTTCTTCCTAATTAATTTACTTATTTATTTTTTTAATGTGTATGCATGTTTTGTCTGCATGTATGTCTGTGAACAACATGCATGTCTGGTGCCAAGAGGTCAGAAAGGGATGCTGGATCACCTGGGTCTGCCAGACACTGTATGGATGCTGAGGACTGACCTTGGGTCCTCGGGAAGAGCAGCCAGTGCCTTGACCACTGAACCATCTCTACAGACAGCCTGGGCATTCAGACTATATTTGTCCCCAGAGCCAGTAAGGACAGAGCCAAGGTCTGCAGACAGCAGTCAGGCCCAGCGCACACACTCGTCCATGCTTTCACCACCTTTAGAGGCCTCCTGGGCTGCAGCATTTTGCCGACTGCTTACCGAATGATGGTTGGATGGTGGCAGGCCTTTCTCCACACTCGGAGGCACGTCATACACATCCATCAACGGGTCTCTACCGTTGGGGCCCTTGACTGCCATGGGGGGTGTGTCATACACCTGGAGGGCACAGGAGAGGGTGCAGTGACGACGACTGTCAGGGACATCTGGTTTAATGGAAGAGTGCAAGCCCCCAGAAACCTACCGTGGGCACCTGGGCTGTGGCTGCTGTGCTACCCAGGCCCTGGCTAGGCTGAGAAAATGTAGCTCCCACAGAAAAGCCCAGTCCTCGTCCTCTCCCATGCCTCTGATCCCCAACACTTACCTCCTGGCCATACTGGCTGGGAAGCAGTCCTCGAACAGGGGGCACATCATAGATGTCCTGAGGACCTGGAGCTAGGAGGTGGCGTGGGGTGTCATACTCATCCTGCTCTGTCTGGGAGGCCTCGTACACATAGCCCTGTCCCACTCGAGTAGGTACCACCACCTGGGAACAAACAGCTGGCTGCACCACTGGCCCACAGGAGACCACGCTGAGAGGGAGGCAAGGCACACAGAGGGAGTGGTGGGCTCTGCAAGGGTGGGCTCGGAGGCGCTGCTTCTCATTCCCTGTGTTCTCCCTTTCTAGAGTGAAGGGCAGTGCTGGGGAAGTAATTATTAGAGCCCTAGGTTTTGTTTAGAGCTGCCTGGTTCCGAGCCGTGAAACCAAGTCTCCACAGCTGGATGACCCAGTAGATTCCACAGGGCAGGGTGTGTGTATGGTTACACACAGATGACAAGATGGGACAGGAAGGGTACAGGCCTGGCTCCAGAGGCAATGCCCATGTGAGGTCCCCTGTGTCATTCCTGCTGACACCTCTCAGCTGCCCTGCCCCACAAAGTTCTGCTCAGCAAGAGAGCGACCTGATCACAGGACCACTGTCATCTCCAGACTCTGGAGGCAGAAGATGTAGCCTGGGAAAGCAGCAAACAACCCTCCCTTAGTAGGACTAAGTAACAGTAGACTACAGAGCATAATGACCTCGGAGCTAACTCTTGAGCAGACACACAGGGCTAGGATGGAAGATCAGCAAAGGAATTCTAACTGTAGCCACTGTAGCCACACCCATCAGCTGCCTTGCCCACCTGAAAGGGTAAGGCCTTAGTGGGAGTCACTGGTCAGAGGGAGCCAGCCCCTTCTTTCCAAGGCAGTGGGCCACAGCATCAAAGCTGTGGCTCCGTATGGAGGGAAGGCAGGGGTGGGGGTGGGGGGGGTGCTATACTCTGGGATGCTTATGCACTACCCCCAGGACCATGCTGTCCCCTCACAGCAGCACTCAGCCTGGGAGGGATGGAAGTGTGCCAGACAGCCTCCCTTCTACAAGATTCTCCAGCCAGGCTCAGGGTAACCTCCCCCATGGGGCTCCCTGTTCAGCCTTCTCCACAGAAAGGCCTTTTGTTTTCTAATCAAAGGGGATGTCTGGGACAGGGTTGACTCAGGGCCTCCACACACATACCCTGCCTCCTTCAGGCTCAACACTCTAGAATCCAAACCAAGCTTCAGCAGGCATGTACCAACATTATCCCCCAACCCCCCTGACCCCCTGCAGGACACAGGGGCACCCAGCAGACCCAGACCTGAAAACCTCCCAGGCAGCACATCTGAGCTAGGCAGTTGATCTTCAGTCCAGCTGGGCTTCTGGGCTGCCTCTAGCAGACAGCCTGGCAGGCTGGTGTGTGCCACTGTGGGGCTGCAGGGTCTCCTCTGTGGGGTGTCCCCACCCACCAATAACAGGGCCTGGGGGCGGAGTTGCAGCTGCCTCTCCAGACTCATCTCCCTGCTCAGGCCCCAGACTTGAGTCTCCTCCAGGGCTATTTTTAGACGTTGGAACCTGCCCATGGCAGAGCAGACTGGGGCTGGAGGGACGTGGCAGGTTAGACAGGCCTGTGGCAAGGCCTGAGGCTTCTTTAGGCCAAGGCCTCCTAGGTGAGAATTCAAACCCCAAAGGGGCAGATAGTGAACCCTTTAGACAAAGGCAGGCCAGGTCTCAGTACAGAGCATCTCTGCTTTGTCAGCACCCATCTGGGCCTCATGTAGACAGGGCTGTAAGCACAGGCCAGAGGGTCTCACTGCCAGACCCTAGAGGTCGGTCCTAGGACTAAAGGGCAGGGCAGCGCCTATTCCTACACCTCAGTCGGATTGAGAGTAAGCAGCCACATCGGCTAGTGAATAATTCTGTTAGGAAAACAGCACTAGAGAAAGCAGGGGAAAGCAGCTCATCAGGGAAATGGATTCATCAGAGAACGCTGAGCTGCTAATCACAGGCTAACTGCTCTGCACCTGATGCCCCATTAGCAGGTCCTGGAGGGAGACAGACACACACATCCAGGCTTTTGGAGGGCTGTTGTTTTTCTCTCTGTCCTATACTCCCCATAGGTTTCAGGGAAAAGGGAGATGAGCCCAGAAGCATATCCCAGCCTGTCAGTCCTAAATGGGGATGAAACCTCTAGAGTAGCCCTGGCTCTACCGGGACCAAGGCAGGGATCCAAGCAGCAGGAGTCAAGTAGGAGGAACCAAGACAAGAGGAGTCTCTCTTGGCTGTTCATTCTGTTGGGGCCCCACCTCTCCAGACAGCTTGGCTGCTGATCTTTCCCCCTGCAAAATGGACAACATCCCACCAGCCTAGGCCAGCTGCTGGTTTGGGTGCTCACAGTCTAGCCCTCCTCCCATAAAGATCTTGCTTTTCCTTTTTTGGGAATGGAGGACCACCGGAATACTATGGGGCCAGGCAGGTGCCTACTTTGCTGAGCATACCACCACCTTTTGCTGGCCAGGAGTGCTGCTTCCCATGCGTTCCCCACCCCTGGCAAGCTGTAGTTCCTGATCCAGGAATGCGCCTTCAAAAGTGGCCTTGCACAGCTAGATGCCTTCCCGCTGGGGTCCTGCCTGCATGTTTACAGCCTCTGTGCTCATGCCTAGCCAGAGGACCCTGGATACTCCTGACCTTGCTTTCTCCAGCCAAACACCAGATGGCTGGCCACTGCTCCAGGGCTCCACTCTCCTGGCCCCGTCCTTCTCACTTCCTCCCACAGGTACTGCAAGCTGTGGCACTACCTCCTCAGTCCCGCAACGAGGAGTCTTAGTTTCAACACCAAAGGGGGAGCCCTAGACGCCTCTGAAAGCAAGACCGGAAATGTAGGCACAAATATGCACCCTAGGAGTTTACCACCATGCTCTTTGTAATAAAATCAAATCACATGGTATACAGAGACATAAGTTAAGAAATAAAAAGTATGGCCGGGCGTTGGTGGCGCACGCCTTTAATCCCAGCACTCGGGAGGCAGAGCCAGGCGGATCTCTGTGAGTTCGAGGCCAGCCTGGGCTACCAAGTGAGCTCCAGGAAAGGCGCAAAGCTACACGGAGAAACCCTGTCTCGAAAAACCAAAAAAAAAAAAAGAGATATAAAGTGTATTTTAAAAAAGTGGTGGGAGTGGGGGCCCTGGAGAGATGGCTCAGAGGTTAAAAGTGCCTGCTTGCTGTTCTTGCGAAGACCCGAGTTTGGTTCCCAGCACCACATCAGGCAGCTCACAACTCCTGTAACTTCAGTTCTCTTCTAACCTCCACACACAGACACATGACACAGACAGACAGACAGACGACACAAACAGAATAAAAATCTCCAGCTGAGGCTACAACATAGAAACAAAACTCGGGCAGCTACTCCCATCAGTCTTGGAAAGAGATTTAATGACCAAGAAAATGCTTTTGGTATCTTGTGATGGATTTACAACTTCAAAATGCAAAAATAACATGCATATAATCACAGACTTAGAAGGCTGAAGCAGGAGGATTGTGGGTTCAAGGCCAGTGGAGGATATAGGATATAATGAGGTCCAAGCCAACCTGAAAGATAAAGTTATCTAAAAAGAAAAAAAAGTACATATACAGATCTGTAAAAGACAAACAGAGAAGATGCTAGACGAACTACACAAATGTTTCTCAGTGATTATTCCTTGACTGAGGGCTTATCCCTAGACTTTCTCATACATTATGCATTGTCTATGGCAAACAAGCGTTTCTCTGTTAAGATAAAAGCAGAGGCAATGGCTGCCCAGCTCAGGAATGACAAGGCTTCTCAGGCTTCCTAGGCTCTCAGTCAGGTCACAGTCTTGGAACAGCTCCACCAATGGCTGGGGCTGGAAAGGACACAGCTAGTGAGCCTCTAGGTGAGTGAGGGAAGGCGTCTTGGCTTCTGCCTTTGGGCTTCCTCCTCCAGCTTAGATGAACAGTTGTCCCAGGATAATCTTAATGCAAGGACAGGAGGTGAAGAACTGACTGGGGACAAGTGTGATATGTGTGCGTGTACATGTATGTGTAGAGAGTGCATGTGGAGGGATGGAGCTGGGTCTGGCTCAAGACTCATTGAACAGGCACTATTCCCAATTCTCCAGACAGCCACTCACGCACACATGCATACACGCATGCACGCAGGCTTCTATTACCTGACTAAAAGAGGCAGGAAGTGTAAGAAGTGGGGTCCAGTGACTCAGGGACCCTTGGTGGTCAGGTTATGGGCCAGTGTCTAAGAAATCTCATCCTATGCAGGCCTGTGACTCCTAGTCAGGCCACTGGATACCAAGCTTCTCTGTGGGCAGGATGGGGTGACACTACCTACTTTCTAGGTGGTACCAATTAGGTTCTTGGCACCGGGTGGCTTTAAAGACAGAGGCTCTGTGCCATGGCTGAGCATGCATCTGGCCAATGTCTCACCAGACACAGCTCAGACATAAGATGACTCTGGACCAGACATGATCAGAACACAAAACTGACTTGGCTGGGCTTATGCTGTGTTCTCGTTCTCTTCCTCCCTCCCCCTCCCTCTTGTTTTTTTGGAAACAGGATTTCTCTATGTAGCCCTGGCTGTCCTGGAACTCACTCTATAGACCAGGCTGGCCTTGAACTCAGAGACCGGCCTGCCTCTGCCTGCTGAGTGCTAGGATTATAGGAGTGCGCCACCACCGCCTGGCTTATGCTGTTCTCTTAAGGGCTGCTGTGCCCACCACAGTTGGCTGTTTCCACCAGGCCACCACCTGCCTAGCTATTAAGGTCTTCTAGTGGACAGTAGATGAAGGTATGGAGGAGATGTGGGAAGCTGGTCATGGCAACTCTATCCTCAATATTTGGAGGACAAGTCCAGAAATTCCATTCCTTAGGTCTTTTTTTTGCTTTGTTTTTTTGAGACAGGGTCTCACTATGTAGCTCTCTGGCTATCCTGGAACTCACTGTGTAGACCAGGCTGGCCTCAAACTCAGGAGATCCATCTGCCTCTGCCTCTTGTGTGCTGGGATTAAAGGCATGAGCTTTGATACAGGAAAACAGGCCAAAATGAATACAAGGAAAAGTGGCTCCCGATTGAGTGTGACAGCAGGGAGCCTCTCCTTCTGCTTCAGTCCTGCTTATTCCATGGGCAGCATGGAGGAACTGAGGGCCCAGACACGGCCTAGAGCCCAGAGGCCCCGCCTCATAGAGATGGAATGTCCGTGGAGCCAGGACAACTAAATGTGCTAGGTCTCCACCAGAGATGACTGTTGAAGGACTGGGGTGAGCCCCCGAGCACAAGGTAGCTTCCCTTACCCCATGGGGGCCCAGAAGGCCACAGGGGCCAGTGACTGGACTGAGAGTCCCTCAGGAGCTCTGCTCCTCCTTCCTTAGAGAAGTCCCTTCAGTGACACACTCGGCCACCTGATAAGGCCCACTGCCTAGCCTCCCAAGCAGCTGGATGGGCAAAGGTCAACAAGCATGTAAGTAACCTCCGAGAAAGCTCCTCAGGAAACGTGTAGTCTCTTTTGTCCCCTCCCCTCTTCCCGTTGGCCACAGGGCAGACCACTGGCTGGATCTCAAGCAGACCTATGGCGGTCTGGCCTGCTCGCCTCCAGATGCAGTTTATGAGAGGAGACCCGGGACTCTTCCCACTTCCCCCCGCTGTGTTGTCACTCCAAGCCCTGCAGCCCCATTTTCCTGGCCCACAGGCTTTATGCTTTGCTGTACTTTCCACTTGGGCCAGACTAAACTGACCAACGTGAACTGCGCAGGTGCAGCTTGGGTATCACTCAGGCCCCCGAGGCCGTCCCTGGCCTGCTGCTCACTTGGAATACAGGACACGTCTCCACACCTCTAGACCTGCCACAGGCTGTAACCTGTGGTTAACATTTTCCAGTTCAGGGCAGCCTGCTGTAGACTCCCTCATCCACCATGGCCAGCTCAGTGTCCCTTATTCAGATAAGTAAATGTAACTTCAGATAAATACATACGTTTACCCAGTTACCTCCCTCCTTGACTTCAGACCAAATACACAGAGACACTGGAGTGTGGCTACTCTGGTGACCAGGCCCTGTTAGGCCCACACACCAGGGCCTAGGCTAACCCAATAGGGCTTTGCTGTGCCAAGTTGGCCTTACCTTTGCCGGGGGCTTTGTTCCCTCCCAGCTGCGGGTGTCCATAGATGGAGGGACTTGGTAGATGTCATGCCCTATGCCAGCGGAAGGTGGCACCTGGTAGATGTCCTGGGCTGGACTTCCAGGCCCTGGGGGCACCTGGTAAAGGTCTGTGGCCGGGCTGGGAAATGAGTGATGAGGTGTCTGCTTTGAGAATGTGGATACCTGTTTGGCTGGGGGTGACTGGAACTGTGGGTTGGGCCCAGGGGCTTGGTAGAGACCTTGCTGAGCCTTGCTGGGAGTGGGTACCAGGTACACACTGTCAGGCTGGGGCTGGTATGCAGTGGGGAGCATGGGACTGTACTGGGAAGCCGGGGGCACCGGGGTATGGACCCCCTGAGGGAGGCTGGGCTGGGGCTGGGGTGGAGTGGCAGGTGGGCCTGGCCCAGGCCCTGCTGGCTTCTTGTCATACATGCCGACCAGGATCTTGAGGCGGTTACCAGGGACAATGCCCTGGCGCCCATGCAGCGAGCAGAGCCACCAGCCATCCAGGCCCTGGGTGTCCCGCTCCAGCACCGTCATGATGTCACCCTTTCGGAAGGAGAGCTCATCCGGGGACTCAGCTACGTTGTCATAGAGGGCTTTGGCCAGCACGTTCTGGGGAGAGAAGACATAGGTGGACATGAAGGCAGGAAGACAGGCACAGGCCTCACCCAGCTCCCACCTATTCCAGAATCAGTAAGTACCCAGCTTTAACTTCCAAAAAGAGACTTAGTCGCATCTGAAAATAGCAGGGGGCCTTTGCCCTCACTGCTTCTGCCTGTCACCAGCAGCAAAGCGGAGCTGACCCCAGTCTATCTTTTAGTTGAGCTAGGGCCCCTCAAATCCTCGACAGCAGCAGCTGCTACCAGCTGCCATCAACACTCCCGAGATGGCTCTTTATATGTGACTAAAAACCATTCCTGGGTCGGGAAAGACGGCTCAGCAGTTAAAGGGAGTTTCCTGCTATTGCAGAAGAATTGAGTTTTGTTTCTGGCATTGACAGTGGGTAGCTCACAACCTAGATCCCGGGGACCCAATGCTCTCCTCTGTACTCTGTAGGTACCTGTACTCACTTGTGCGTGTATACAGACACAGAGACACCACATATAATTAAAAATAATAAAATCTTTTCAAAGTTCCTTAAGTCATGTGACAGTCTGTACCAGAAAAGTTAAGGATAATGACAATACAGCCACTAAGTTACCAAAGGATAGTTCAGCAGAGCTGAGAAACTAATTTGACAGTTTCTTAAGATAGAAATGGGGAGTGGGGGGTTCCCAAGTTCACCTACCAAAACGCCAGTAATTAATGGAGAAACTTAAAAAACTGCCCCTTAAGCTCAGAAGAAAGCAAGATGTTCTCCCCATTCTAGCTCCAAGGTTCAGACCCTGTGTCCAGGGCATTGCAAATCTCCAAGAGGAAGAAACTGATGGGGTGAGGGAGGACCACGCACATCACAGGGGACAAAACGGTCATCCTCTGCAGACCACATGAACATCTTTGTAAAGTAGAAGAATCCAAGTAGACGACTCAGCAATCGATGAAAACGTCACAGCAAAGACAGAACAACAGACGTGTTCTGCAAACTCACCACGCACACCTTGCACAAGACTGGAGAGGACAAAATGTTTTTACTCAAGTAAAAACTTGAACAGAAGGAAAAATGTGCCAAGTTCCCAGTGAGACAACCTTAACACTGTACAGTGTTCATTTGCCCATACTTTCTTAGTACAGCAGCCTGCCCATCATCATGGTTTCACTTTCTGTGGTTTCAGTTAGTTACCTATGGTCAACCATGGCCCAAAAATATTAAATGAGAAATTCCAGAAATAAATAATCCATAAGTTTTCAATTATCGGCCATTCTGAGAAGCATGACAAAATCTCCTACTGGTCTACTCCACCACCCTGGGTCCAGCACATCCATCCTATCTGTATGTGCTACTTGCTTATTATCCAGGCTAGCAGATCTGCTCAGCTACTGCAGGGCTTACTACTTTGAGTAAGCCCGACTGTGATGGCCCCAAAGCACATGCACACACATAATAATTCTTACATATTTCAAATTTGCCAGAGAGAAGCTATAAAGGTGCTTCTGCTAAGGGAAAATGTCAAAGTTAATAATTTATGGTTTTAGAGAGACCAATCACATACCTTTTATTATAACATATTAATTGTTCTACTATTGTTATGAATCTCTTACCATACCACATTTATAAATTAAACTATTATAGATGAAAGCCATGTATGGCACAGCAGGCCTTTAATCCCAGCACTTAGAAGGCAGAGGCAGGTGGATCTCTGTGAGTCTGAGGCCAGCCTGATCTACATAGTGAGTTCCAGGCCAAATAGGGATATATGGTGAGAACCTATCTCAGACAAAAAGAAAAAACAAAAACAAAAACAAAACAAATCTACTATAGATAGACATGTATTGGAAAAAATATAGTATACAGAGTGTTTAATACTAACCTGAGCTGGGTGGTCGCAGTACATTCCTTTAATCCCAGCATTCAAGAGGCAGAGGCAGACAGATCTGTGAGTTTGAGGATAGCCTGGTCTACAGAGTAAATTCCAGGACAGCCAAGGCTATACAGAGAAACCCTGTCTCAACAAACAAACAAACAAACAAAACTAATCTGAGGTTTGGGGCATCCTTTGGGAGTCTTGAAATGCACTCCAGAGACTGAGGGGAGAATAATGTGAACTCAGTATAATTTAATTGCATCATAATAATTCATCATGATAAAAGTGCCATAAGGCTTTTTTTAAAAAAAAAAAGGAATTCTTTTACAATGAAATGGAGGCATAGAGGCCAATAAATAAACAAACCACTTCTAAAAGGCACAGGCACTCTTTTCTAGACATGAGAACAACTCTAAGCAGGACAGGGATGGGACAGGACAAGGGCTGGGAAGCAGAGGGAAAAGGCTAAGACTCCACAGAGAGGAAGGCAGGAAACTCACTGTAAGAAGGCAGCCAATGTGGACACTGACCTTGGCATTACAGACTATCAATCAGGACTCAAATACAAATGGCCTAGTGCTAGGACAAGGAAAGTTAATAGGAATTTGGAGTTCATACAATCAAAAAGGAAAAGATGCCAGGTGGGGGTGGTACACCCTTTTAGTCCCAGCACTCAGGAGGCAGAGGCAGGCAGATGTCTGTGAGTGTGAGGCCAGCCTGGGCTACAGAGCAAGTTCCAGGACAGCTAGGGCTGTTGCACAGAGAAGCCTTGTCTCAAAAAACAAAAAAGGGTACAAGACCAACAGAAAGCCCACAATATATAAAAAAGTCACCCAAGGGAAGTCAAATGGATGCTTAGAGTTCCAGCAGGAAGAGACACTGAGGGATTATGCCACACGGTCCTTCCTGCAGGTGTCCTGGTATTTAAGGAAGTGGTGCAGGCAGGAGTATGCACAGGCTTTACTGATCTTAAGAGCACTCAGCACCAGGGTGCTTGCCCATCACATATGGGGCCCACCTGTATTGACCACGGAGCAGTGAGAGGGTAAAGGTGAGGCAAGGCAGCCCCGCCCTCCTGAGTTAGAGTAAGAAACAAATGTGTTATGGGTCAGAACTTAAAGCTATACCCACCTACAAAGCAGTACCCTCCATATGTCAAAGACAATGGTTCAGGGACAGATCCCAGGCACATTACTAATGTGGGTGCTTCTGGGGCTCCAGGAAGAAGCAAGAGGAAACCAGGAGCATCAAGCAAGGGAGAGCAGCACCTCCCATCTTTCCTGGAGCTCCCTCCTGTCACCTGTCACAGCTACTACAACAACTGGGTTCTATGTCCTTTCCATGTCAGACACTCCCAGAACAGCAATCTGCACTTCATGTGGCCCAGAAGCCAAGCAGCCTGTGCTGGAGCCATGTGACTTGAGGCAGGAGGCCATCAGTATAGGAAACAGGGAAGAAGGCACAGGAAGCCCGTGGGTCTGCTGTCACTGCCTCCTTGCCCAGGAGCTGGGCTTAGAGATGGCAGAGGGCAGGAGCAAGGAAGGAGTCTGGGCTAGGTGTGGCTGGGACATGGTCTGTCCTCTAAGAGCAGCAGAAGACTATATGTATGCTTCAGGAGGGCTGGTGGCAGAGCCTGATTAAGACCCCACTGGGCACTCAAGAAGGTCAGATGCACCCTTCTGGCCTTCAACCAAACATCAATTTGACCTACAAGGTCCCTCCTAAGACTCTGGGTCTGAAGACACAAGAAAGATCTAGACTTGAAAACAGGACCTGGGTGGGCTCTGGCTACTTGCTGTATGGCCTTGCCTACTGAAACTCAAGGGGCAGAACTGCCCTCTGGCCGGGCTGCTGGCAAACAACCTGCAGTCCCAGCACTTGGGAGGTGGAAGCAGAGAATCAGGAGTTCAAGGCCTGGGCTAGTGAAACCCTACCACAGGAAGTCAAAGCTACATCAACCAAACAACCAAAAACATCCCCACCCTCTGGACCTCACCTCCTTCATGGAACCAATTAGGAGCTGGAATTCAGGCGGCAGGAAGGGCCATACCCTAGGGACAGAAATCCAGAGTGGGAGCTCAGGCTCTGAGGAGAGGGGTCCCAGGGAGCTACCTCTGATTTCTTTCTCAGGCCCGCCACACTAAGAGGTATCACCAGCTGTCACCTGTTTCTCCAGGACATCTTGAACTCTCCAGTCCCAGAATGGCAGGGGCAGAGGAGCTAGGAACCAAAAAGAACAAGTCCGAGGGAGAGACCAAGTAGGGAAGACACCTAAGGAGGGCAGAGCCCTGAAACTGCCACAGTTCCTGTGCTCTGTCTACACCAGTTACAGAAGGTTTAAAGTGCACTGAATAAGCTGGGCACTGAGTACACCAGTACTTCCAGCATTCAGAAGAGACTCTGAGTTTTAGGTTACTTTGATCTACAGTGATATCCCCACCCCCTCCAAAAAAACTCCACAATAAAACATCATTTGCAATTTTAAAATGAGGTATCAGAATATCACTAAAAATACTCAAGACAATAGGGGTGGATATTCTCTCATTTACAGAATTTTTCAATAAGTGTTTCTTATTCTGAAGTTGAAGGGAATTAACCAAAATTAAATATGTATGAAAATGTCATAAAAATATCCTGTTACTCTGAAAGCTAGGGTTTTTTTTCCCTTTCTTTCTTTTCTTTTCTTTTCTTTTCTTTCTTTCTTTCTTTCTTTCTTTCTTTCTTTCTTTCTTTCTTTCTTTCTTTCTTTCTTTCTTTCTTTCTTTCTTTCTTTCTTTCTTTCTTTAAGGGAAGGAAAAAAAAAACGTATCTAGGAAAAGAAAACAGTGGGTCACATGCCAAGCCCTGGGTCAGGATGGAACAGAGGCAGGGGTCCAGAGGCCAGAACCCCTGGAGGAGCAGGCCGGGATGGGAACTACCTTACAGCCCACCAGGCTCACAGTCCCATCCCGAAGCTGCAAACACGAGAAGCAAATTTCCCAAATATGGTCTGCAGCCGGCCTCTGGGAATCACCAGGCCCACCCTCCCTCAGTGACCCCAGAACATCAAGCCGCCTGGCTGGGTCCCCTAGCCCCTGCCCTGGTGACCACAGGAAGTGCCAGCAGAGTGAGTCACAGGGAAATTCCCTCCAGCCAGTCAAAGGCGGGTGG